TAAGAACAGAAAAATCAGTATCAGAAAGAAAAGATGAAAAAGAAAAAGACTTACAATCTTGACACTGTTGAAGAGAAGAGTGATTATCTGATATGAATGAATAATTGTCTCATCATGAATATTTAAAATGAATATAATAATCAGTATTCACAACTGAGCTTCAGATAGTTGTGTTATACACAGTCTTCATACAATAAATCATTCTAGAGATCAGCAAGAAGAACAGAAGTGTACACACTGAGAAATATGATTCACTGAGCCTACACAACATCTCCTTGAAACAGGGAGAGCTAGTAAGAAAGACAGAGACAGCAAAACCAGAAGTAGCGGGAGTAGGGATTGCGGGAACAGGAATAGCAGAAGTGGGAGAATCAGACACAGGGGCAAGTGTAGAAGATTAAGAGGAAGCAGCAGAAGAAGAAGCAGCAGAAGAGGCAGAAAGAGATACTGAAGACTCAGTCATACATAATACAGACAATTTCTTCATTATCACATTCTTCAAGTTCTCAATCAATGATTCAACACTGAATTCACTATCATCAGCAGATGCAGATCTGTCAATATGTAATGATTCTATATGAATAAAAACAAACATATCAGCATCTGTGTTTATACAAAATCATGCCAGGGAACATAATCAGAAACTCACTGAGAAGAAGAAACAGTTGAGAGTGTATGAGAAGGTGAAGAAGATGTGTCATCATTCATGATAATATGTTATTCTGGCAATTGTTAGAAGATAAACAAGTTCTGATCATATATATTTCACAACATGTTACACTTACTGCTAACAAACTGTCTGATATGAGCACTACAAGAACACTTGTTGTAGAAATGAGAGGCCATTGCCAGAAACATGTACAATATGATAGATGAACAGATGAAAAGAGTTGAATAGAAGAAGAAGTAGAAATCTTGAATGAGATGATGATGTTCAATGATGATGATGATAAAGATGATAATTGAAGAATGAGAAAAGTTAGTGAATAAGTGATGTAATATAGTGGAAGTTTCTTTGTGACAGTGTACACAGAATGCTAGCTGAATTAGAGATAGATCACATAATTGTGAGATGCTAGTGGCAAGCTAATCTGCATGAAGCTAGAGCATACAACATGGTCACATGAGTGTGACTGAATCTGGTGGAGAAGAATGTGGTTCAGAAGAACATACAATCATCAAATAATAACGCGGCCGCTTCTGAACTACTAGTGTATGAATGTAAAGAGGGCTCTAGCGGCCACTAATTAATTTAGCGTACGAGATTCAATATATAAGAAGCCGGCGTACGCCTGTAATCGTACACTGGCTTAAGCAACCTTTGAATCACAAATCTGTTGAATAAGAAATTTATATATATTAGTAACTCTTCTGCTGCAGCTTCTATTCTCTTTGTAAAGAAATCAGATAAAGAACTTCAATTCTGTGTGAACTATCAGAAATTGAACAGATTAATTAAGAAGAACTGCTATTCTTTATCTCTTATCAATGAAACTCTAGCTTGTACTGAACAAGCTCAATAGTTTATACAACTAGCTATCATCACTGCATTTCATAAAATTCATATCACTGAAGAAGATGAATAACTTACAGTATTCTAAACATATTATAGTCTCTTTGAATGAAGAGTTACACTCTTTGAACTGATTAATGCTCTCAGTACATTTCAGAAGTATATCAATTAAGCACTCTGAGATTTTCTTGATGAATTTGTATCTATATATCTCAATGACATTCTCATCTTCACTGATGAGTTCAGAAAAGAACATCAAGAACATATACAAAGAGTATTATAATAATTACAAGAAGCAGAACTATCAATAGATATTAAGAAGTATGACTTTGAAGTCAAGAGTATCAAATATCTAGATTTTATCATTGAAGCTGATAAGAGGATTTGAATGAATTCTGAGAAAGTCTTTATTATTCTTGAATGAAAAGCTTCATGTACTGTGAAAGATGTATGAAGCTTCATCAGATTTGCTAACTTCTATCAGTGATTTGTATAAAACTTTTCAGATATTGCAAGATCACTTACAGAACTTATCAAGAAGAACTCAGTGTTTCAGTGATCAGTAGACACTGAAGCTGTATTCACACAGATAAAGAAGATATTCATCAATACTTCTCTACTAATGATATTTGACTCTGATTATAAAATAGTTGTTAAATCTGACTTCTTTGACTATGTTATAGAGAGAGCTATATTACAATATAATAATGAAAATATCTTACAATTATACATCTTCATGTCTAAGAAATTGAGTTCTGCTGAATACAACTATGAAATCTATAATAAGAAACTTCTTACAATTATACACTGTCTAGAAGAATGAGACTCTGAACTCTGAAGTATGTCTGAATTTGAGATAATCACAGATTATAAGAATCTCAAGTACTTTATAACTATCTATAAACTCACTGAATAATAGATACAATAATCTAAGTTCTTAAGCTGCTTTCATTTTACAATATACTATCATTCTGACACTCAGAACTTGATGACAGATGCTCTCTTATAATGAGAGCAAAATATATTATTCAATGTAACAGATACTCACTGAATGAACTGAGAGCATCAGCTCTTGAATTCAAAGATACTAGTTGATTAAGATGAAACAGCTCACAGTACTATACATACATCTTCAATTAGAACTGTCACTGATATCTTAACTTCTCTCAAATCTACATTAGATAAGCTATAACATACAGCAGCTTAAACTGATGAACTTCTTCAAACACTCACTGAAGCAGTATAATAAGAAGCATCTCAATTTTCTTCAGAATTATATGTAAGAACTGACATCTCAGAATATTCAATTGATAATAATAACACTCTATGATTTTATAAATAATACTGAGTCTCTCACTCTGAATTCTTACATATCTGAATAATGCAAGAGATGCATGATTCATATATAACTGATTATTCAGACTGTGAATAACTGTATAGAATGATCTTCTGAGAGTTCTATTAATCTGAGATATTAAACAGCATCAGATACTTTATCTGAAACTGTAATTACTATTCTTTCATTTCTTATAAAAGAACTGTAGAAAAGATCTACTGAAATCACTTAATATTTCTGATAAAATCTGATGAGATGTAGTAATTAACTTTACTATCAATCTATCTAAGAGTAAGAATTGTAGAAACATTCTGATTATTATAAATTAATTGAGTAAAGATATAATATTGAAATCTTGTAATAAGATAAATACTGAACAAGTCACTGAAGCTTTTCTACAGAGCCTGTTCTATTAAATATATGAATTACTGAGATTTATAGTATCAGATCAGAACTGTCAATTTATAAGTACTCTCTGAACTAGAATCTATTAAGTTCTTAAGATTATATACTATCTATTAACTGTCTATCACTCTGAGACTGATAATGCATCAGAATAGATAATTCAGACTGTAAAGAATTATCTTTATAAGTTCTATAATCACTTAGAAGATGATTGATATAATCTTCTTCTATATACAGAGATTACTATTAATAGTTAAGATATTATTTCAACAGATATAAGTCTGTTCTTTCTTATACATAGATATTATATGAAAGTATTGAATCTTCTAGAGACTACATAGTTTATATCAAACTCTCACAGTTTGATTCAGATTGCTGATAATATAGTAATAAAGCTCTAAGATACTCATGATTAAGCAGAGATGTTCATAATAACTGTGAAATAAGATTAAGAGAATTAAATCAATGTTCACTGAGACTTCACTGAGCAGTATAAGATAGAAGACTTAGTATAATTAAATCTTAAGAATATACAGATCACATATTCATCTCATACACTGAATTATCATTATATCAAGTATAAAGTGATAGAAGTTTTAGACAGTTGTAACTATTATCTTAATATATCATCAGGAATTTATAATGTCTTCTATACAAGCTTGCTTTATCACACTGTCACTGACTCATTTTCTTCTTAACTGACTTCTGACTAACAGTTACCAGGCATTATAGAAGAAGATAATAAGCTTGAGTGAGAGATTGAGAATATTCTCAATAAGAGACTCTGTAATCACAGTTAATAATATCTCATGAAATGAGTCAGTTATAATCAACTGATCTGAACTCTGAGTTCTGTATTATTCAAAATAGCAGCTCTTGACTGATAAGAACTACTTCTGAAAGAGAGAGACTAATGTGATAAGCTGTGCCTGATTAATTATATAGACTATTTTATTACACTTCATAGATTTTAAATACTTCATTCTTGAATGTATATGCTCTGATTTGCAGCTATTCTTGATCACTGATCTTTAGCTGTTATAAATACATACACTTCAATTCTCAGTTATTCTCAATTATCAATTCTTAACTGCTATGAATATGTGTATATTATTCTGCTCTGAAGCTTCATCATGTACACTATCACATACATGTATAAATATTTATCTTAATTACTGATTCTTGCACTTTCTCTTTCTTTTCTTCTTTAACATTTTTATCTTTGTTATATAAGATCTATCAATATTATACTGATCTATTCAGTGTAGACCTCTTATATTTAATATCATTCTCAATAATGAGATCAGAATGAAAATGTAACTAACAATTTAAATATATTCTTTATCTAAGACTAGATTTTTATTTGAAAAGTGAATCTGAGATCTTTAATATTTAAAATAATATGATTTGAAATCAATGTAATAAATATATATTATAATCAGAAGTAATGATTTTAGATAATATAATAACTATAAAGTTTAATTCTAGTCTCAGATATAGTTATATAATCAGTCTACTAATCAGTTTAATCAAGATTGTATATAAAACTTCAAATTCTTATATTATCTTAAATTTTTCATAAGTTTGAATTTTGAATTTAATTTTAATCTATTAAATTATTAATGATATTCTAAAGCTGAGCTTCAGTTCATTTAAATAATTCAAATATTATAGTAATAATTAATGAATATTTGAAGATTAAGAATAATGATAATTAAAAATATTATAGTTATAATGATATTATAATTATACTGCAGTGCACTTACTAGAGAGAGTGTACTTAGCATGATTAATGTATTAACTTTGCAGTTTGTAGAAGAGTGAACATTGTTATTCTTAAAAGAAATCTGTTAGAGTGATAATTCTTGAGACACACTCACTAATATGAAATGTTAAGTTGCGCTTGGCATGATTACAACACATTTATTTGCAAGGGGCAGGAAGGACTAAATGGAGCTGAATGAAATAAAGGGTGTTCTAGAAATCAATATCGCGGTCGCTCGGTCATAATTGAATATACAAGCACCAGTGGCTGTAGGCGCTGGCTGATACGCCAAGGTTTTTACATTAATGAAAGTTGTTGTGATTCCCAACGCTCAATAGTATTCCGATGTTCCAAACGCCCTGATTAAGAACATCACGGTGTCATTCATCACCTTGTTTCCAGTCAAATTCTAAATGAAGTAGATATGTTAGCTTAGAAATAACAACAGAAAGCTGGGGGGGTGCTTCGCCAGGGCTCATACTTTGCCGGCACATGGGACAGAGTCCCTTCGAAGATTCTTGGCCAATCCATGTCAAGAGACAGTGCTAGGAAAGAGGATAGTCAGTTTCCATTCTTAAGCATCGGTGTGGAAAGGAGAGAGGATCCAAACACCGTACCATGTGAAAAGAGTGCCCGCATTTTCCAATTACTAGAATCATGTTAGATTTATGCTCCTTAAACCCCGGTTGCATGTACATATACTTGTCGGTATGAGTAACCCACATAACGAACAATCATCTCCTGGGAATTTACACGTGGGACACGTCCCGTCGAAATGAACCCGACATATCCCACACACCTCGTCCTCGGGCATATCCCATCTCCATGTTGCCACCGCGTTCCATTCTCTGAGAGTGACCTTCATGCGGACGGCACAGAGGATGCGAGGGAGAACCGTCAATGAATGGTAATTTTCAGGAACATAAAGCTGGAGCGCTTTCGTTAGCAACAGCACATTCAAACATCTAGAACGCACCGTTTGGCAATGCTGCGGAAGAGTGTTTTACCAGCGTAACGGATCAGCTTGGAACACCCACACCTAACCCCCGGTGTAGAACCAGTAAGCCCACTTACGTTAGACTATGGCCTCGTTATTTAACACAAGTACCGTTGGTATGAATTGTTCCTCACAGCCGTTTTATGGAATAGGGCGGCATATTCAGGATTGCAGCGGGTTCGTTCATTCATAGACTCTAAGCTAGTTGAAGCCGAGAAGGGCTGACTAAGCCGATACCGGCCTCACGGATTTATTATATTGACGTGGACCAAACTCCGCACTTCTTCCGCACAGATCTCCCCATCGTCACAGCGTTTTAGAAACCCTTTTTCTCGCTCTTAGAGGGACCCAAACTCCGTTATGTAAGAGCACGGCACAAATCAGCTAAGAGCTTCCCATCTGCCGCAAATGGCTTGTGCAGCTCTTCGTTCGTTCGGTATCTCATCCAGGAATTCCCTCCCCAGGTCTACCACTCCCGCTTCCCCCTGTTCTCCCCAGCGACGTTCGATCTGTCTTTCTTCCTATCTTGTCACACCGAAGGAGCTCAATGACGCCCTGAAGAAAAATGTGAGAACCAAAATCTCTACTTCACCGCGAGTGATCCCGCTATGTGCCACCTGGTTCATGCCCAATGACCCCGCAAAACGTACCGGCATTGAGGCTTTCAAAAAGTGCCACATCCCGCATGCCCGTTTCTTTGACCTTGACGCGGTGAAGGATCACGATTCTCCCTATCCCCACATGCTGCCGTCCAAAGAGGCTTTTCAGGCGGCGATGCAGTCCCTGGGAATTCGTCGGGATGATCAGCTTGTGGTGTATGACTCTGAGCAGGTAGGTCTCTTCAGTGCGCCTCGAGTGGGCTGGACATTGAGGGCGTTTGGCCATAGCAATGTCCACATTCTTAACAATTTCAAGATGTGGGTCCAGGAAGGATACCCAACTGAGTCTGGAGACGTTGCCCCTGAAGAGCGATCTAACTACCAGGTGGGCGACTTCGCCCCAAGGATGGTTGCTCATTTCCCGCAAATGAAAGAGATCGCCAATAACTATGGCAAGGAGGGTTCGGAGGGCATCCAGATCCTGGACGCCAGACCAGAGGGCAGATTCACAGGGAAGGACAGAGAGCCTCGTCCTGGCCTCCCGTCGGGTCATATCCCTGGTTCTACGAGTTTACCCTTCTCCGAGTTGCTTGATCCTGATACCAAAGCATTGCTTCCAGCTCCGGAGCTACGCAAAATATTTGAAGCCAGGGGAATTAATCCAAGGGAGCCAACAATCAGCAGTTGCGGCACCGGTGTGAGTGCCGCAATCATCGAGCTCGCGTTGAAAGAAGCCGACGACACGGTACCTGAAAATAGGCAGATATACGATGGAAGCTGGACGTGAGTACATGGATCCCGCACTGTTTGAGTTTGCGCTCAGAGCTGACGTCTGTGTAGGGAATGGGCTCAACGGGTGACGGAGGCGAGTGGCATGATTCGAAAGTCCTGAAATGCCTTAGAGCGGCCGTGTCCCATGGGGACCTCAGCTTGAATGACATTGCCTTCCACTGCATGTGTATTTATGACCGCATAATTTATCATCGTTCGTCTTCGTTCCAGTACTGTCTATTTTGGTACTTTTCTTTTCTGTTCTCTCTCCACCACCGTTTTAACATATCCCCCTAGCCCGTTCTGACCATTACATGTGATTTCCCTGCGCCAGGGTATATCTGAAAGCAGCGTTCTTTTATTCTGTGGTTTGTATTTGATAGTTGAGTTTACGTGTACTAGCAATTCCTTTTTATACTTGCAGCAAGAGAGCAATGCTTAGGTATGGCGAACCAATAATTAGCGGTTCTTTTTACTTCCATCCCCTGCGGTCTTTTGTCAGAGTTTGCGCAGCAAGCGATTTCCGTAGAATAGAACTGTGTCGCCGAGGTTATCTGGCTGCAAAGCGGGTGCTTAGTCAGCAAGTCTGCCAAGATCACCTCCACTCATCGCCCTTCCAACCCTTGACATCTTCATCGTCAAAACCATCACCACCAGCCGTCATCAAATGTCTACCATTCACTACGCCCTCCTATTCATCCTCGCGACGATACCTGGGCCATTTCAAATACCTCTTCGCGGCTCGTTTCGCGCTCACCTCGTTTCCTAGAAAAGCGAAAATGCTTCCTGTAACTGTCTTCTTTGACTACATTTCTTGCGGTCAGTGTGATTCTCCCCAACGAACTCCTCTTACTCCAATTTATCCTATTTGATTTCTAGTTGCTACTGAGTCCTTGCTGCGTACCACATAACCGTCAGTATATGTTGGCTAACCGAATTCTCTTGTGGAGCAGTTAATACAAAGTTCATATATACTTCGTGATATTTGATATATCGAAAAAGCTGTAATACACAACCTTACAAAACCAAAACCCGTTGATCACTAAACCTTTCGGAGAAAGCAAGTATAATAGACAGCATGTCGGTCGGCCGAAAAGTTTTTCACTGCGTCGTTGACGATACCGCGCTCACTACCAATATCAGCGAAATCAAGAAGTGGACTTCGTCCGGCGCCATCACTCTTATCGTGCCACTCTACAGTATGTCTTGAAGGTTCACCAGGTTATTATATACTTGGCCTCTGCGGCTTGCTGCTAACTTTCACTAGCCCTTGAGCGCCTCCGGGCGTTGAAGAAATCCGGCTCTCAGATCGGCATGAATGCTCGTGAAGCCGTTCGATTCCTGGATCGGGTGACGTCTGGCAAACATGACATTCCATCCTCAAAAATAGCACTCCAGGGCCCTATGGAACAGTTTGAGACATGGGAAGAAGCAGAAAAATACTTTCTTCCGGAGTTTGAGGAAGAGCTTGAAGATCTCTCGGAGAGTGATTTCGATGCTAATGAGAAGGAAACACGCAAGGACTTGGAGAGCGGTGACTCCAAATCTGAGCACACGGAGGCTAAAAGTCTTAATGAGATGTCCCAAATGCTTCTGAGCAAACTTAATTTTAAGAAGGAACCTGATGCGGTTTCCATAACTTCCGGCGGGACTCGCAGCCATGCCGCATCCCTCGCCTCGGGAAGTTCTCAAACAAGTCCCGAATGTAAGGCTGCCAAGCTCGCTGCAAATCCTGCGCTATCATCGAATACCAGGAACTCCTTGGATGGACACCGCCGCTCTACCTCTGGATCTTTTATACCGTCGGTGCCAGTTACCATCAAACCACTACTTATTGCAGTTCTCTGGCGCCTGCACTGCCAATCCGGCGCGACACCAGGTGTAAACAGCTGCATTCTTGTTACAAACGATCGAATCACGCAGACATGGGCCCAGAAGTTTGGCATCACAACAAAAAATATCCACCAACTGCGCACAGCTATCATCTACGAGGAGAAAGAATTCAAAAACCACTGCAAATACATTGAAAAGAACCAAACTACGGAACCCGAGCGACTGCTTTCATACCAAAACGAGAGTGATGAAGATGTGCTCGTATTCGTGCCCCGCAGGCCAGGAAAATCTGCCTCTCGGGGCACAACAGTTAAAAGACCAGCCACTCGTAAAGTTACAGCAAGTGATCGAATTTCTAATACTAGTACGAATGGCAGTAGCGTCAGAACAAACGCACAAATTGTTCCTGAGGCTGTTGTTGAAGTGCCATCTGTCCCCATCGATCCTAATTCTTTCAGCCGCAATTTTGGCCCCGCGAAGCCAAGCCCTTCTGCAGAAGCCACCACACCCAACGGAAATGCCTCACGAGGATTTGTTAGTTCTAGCCCATGCGGACCACGCCGTGGAGCTCCTCGTGTCCCCCCGCCTCGTGGCTCTACTCGAGGCCGTGGCAAACTCTGGGTTCCTTGAACATATCGTCTCCAGCAGCTGTTTCTCAGTTGCTGGGAGTGGTGTCTTACACTTTTTGAAACCTAAAAATCTCCTATGATCAGTCTAAACGAACGATAACACGACTTATTCAAAGCAAAAATAAAATATGCTGATCAAGAAAGGATTTGGCGAAACGAAATCAACCTCATTTTCTAGGCATGGTCCTTGGCTGGCCGCGCGCCCTAGAATATGTGGTTTTTTCTTCATGTTGAGTCTGATCGATCGATATAGCCAGCTATGCTCCGAAGATGTGGTTTGTTGGCTTTTACTAAGCCGAGACGGAGACTGATCTCCATTGCTCCTGTCTCCCCTGCCGCATATAAACTCGACGCTTTTTTAGAACCCTTCGCTTCGTGGCCGTTCACTTGAATGATTTTTCGGGGTCCTGATTCTGAAACCGAACATAAAGTCTCCGATTTACTATCTGCGTTCCTTTTGCGAGCAGCTTCTTTATCATTGTCTCTCCTCCATCAGGAACTGATGAGTATTTATCTTACCGCAGAGAACACGTCGTTGCTGATCGGAGTCAGGCCTCTGGTCTGGTTAAACAGTTGAACTGTGAGTTAGCGCGTGGATTTTGATATGCGGCTGCAAGTACGATGTAGATCTGATATTTTATGCTGAGTAGCAATTTTAAGATTGGGGTAGTGGTGGAAGTATGTAATAACTTATCTGAGTCCAGATTGTGACTGGAGGAAATTTTGTTCACCCCTGGCACCTACGCTCTTTTACTCTGGTCGCATTTGTTTTCATTGTTTTTCTCCCATTTTTCTTCTCTCTTTTTTTATTTTGAAATTAATCCGGGTTTCATGTGTCTTAATTAACCGGGATACGGCTTATTCATTGGCTCAAGTGAAATAACTTAATGCTCACTTCCGGGTGAGAAGCTCAAAGATATAAGTTTACTAGTGTGGAAGGTGTAAAGCTCGCTTGAATGAAAGAATGCTAGCCTAGCTACGGAGTACGGTGTATGCAGAAAGTGTTGGCCCTTACGGCCGTTGCGGTTAGCGATCCCACTAGATCACGTGACCCACCACTATATTATGTTCTTGTAGATAGATCTATTAATACACAACCTTCAACTATTCTACAGGTTATAGCCTGGATGGCACATTTTTCTTTTTAGAACATTGTACCAACATTTTTTTAACATAGATAGTTCATCTTTTTTGAAAAGACTCTCACTCTTTATTAGAGATATTATAAGAGGCCTACGCCGAATAGATCAGTATAATATTGATAGGTCTTATATAACAAAGATAAAAATGATAGAGAAGGAAAGAAGAGAAAGTGCAAGAATCAGTGATCAAGGTGGATATTTATACATGTATGTGATGATGTACATGGTGGAGCTTCGGGGTGGAAGAATATATGCATGTTTGTAGCAGCTGAGGATCAGTGATTGGGAATGGCTGAGAATCAGAGTGTATGTTCATAGCAGCTGTGGATCAGTGATCAGGAATGATCAAGAATCAGAGCATACATGTTTGTAGCAGCCATGAATCAGTGATCAGGAATGGAAGAATCTATGAAGTGTAATGAAATAGTCTATATGATTGATCAGGTGCAGCCTGCCACATTAGTCCCCTCTTTTCAGAAGCAGTTTTCATCAGTCAAGAGCTGCTGTTTTGAATAACACAGAACTCAGAGTTCAGATTGATTGATTGTAGTCAACTCATTTCATCAGATATTGTCAGCTGCAGTCACAGAATCTCTTATTGAGAATGTCTTCAATCTCTCACTTAAGCTCATTATCTTCTTCTATGATGTCTGGTAACTGTCAGTCAGAAGTCAGCTGAGAAGAGAACAGATCAGTGATAATATAATGAAGCAAGCTTGTATGAAATACATCATGAATTTCTGATAATATGTCAAGATGATAGTTATAACTATCTAGAACTTCTATCACTTTATATCTGATATAACAGTAGTCTAGTGTATAAGATGAATATGTGATTTATATATTCTTGAGATTCAATCATACAAGATCTTCTATCTTATACTGCTCTGTGAGATCTTATCAAATATTAGTTTAATTTTCTTGATCTTGTTTCACAGTTGTTATAAAGGTCTCTGCTCAGTCACAGATATCTCAGAGCTTTGTTACTATATTATTGATAATCTGAATTAAACTGCAGAGATTTGATGTGAACTGTGTGATCTCTAGAAGATTCAACACTTTCATATAATACTCATATGTAAGAAAGAATGAGCTTATATCTGTTAAAATGATATCTTGATCATTGATAGTAATCTCTGTGTATAGAAGAAGATCATGCCAATCATCTTATAAGTGATTATAGAACTTATAAAGATAATTCTTTATAATCTGAATTGTCTGTTCTAATGCATTATCAGTCTCAGAGTGATAGACAGTTGATAGATAACATATAATCTTGAGAACTTAACAGATTCTTATTCAGAGAGTACTCATGAATTAATAACTCTGATCTGATACTATTAATCTTGATAATTTATATATCTGATAGAATGAACTCTGTAAGAAGACTTCAGTGACTTGTTCAGTGTTTATCTTATCACAAGATTTCAATATTACACTTTTACTCAGTTAATCAATGATGATCAGAATATTTCTGCAGCTCTTGCTCTCAGATAGATTAATAGTGAAGTCAATTACTATATCTTATCAGATTCTATCAGAGATATTGAGTGATTTTAGTAGATCTTTTCTACAATTCTTTCATGAGATAATAGAAGAATAGTAATTACAGTTTCAGATAAAGTATCTGATACTGTTTAATATCTCAGATCAGTAGAATTCTCAGAAGATTATTCTATACAGTTGCTTATAACCTGAATAATCAGTTATATATAAATCATGCATCTCTTGCATTATCTGAGTGTATAAGAATTCAGAGTGAGAGACTCAGTGTCATTTACAGAATTATAGAGTATTATTATCATCAATTGAGTATTCTAAGATATTGATTCTGATACATAGTTCTGAGAGAAATCAGAGTGTTTCTTGATATACTGCTTCAGTGAGAATCTGAAGAAGTTCATCAGTCTGAGCTGCTGTATGTCATAGTTCATTCAGTGTAGAGAAAGTGAAGATATTGATGTCAGTTCTAATCAGAGAAGTATGTATAATGCTGTGAGCTGTTCTATCTTGATCAATTAATATCTTCAGATTCAAGAGCTGATGCTCTCAGTTCATTCAGTGAGTATCTGTTACATCAGATAATATATCTTACTCTTGTTATAAGAGAGTATCTGTCATTGAGTTCTGACTGTCAGAATGATAGTGTATTGTAAAATAAAAGCAGCTTAGAAACTCAGACTATTACATCTATTATTCAGTAAGTTTACAGATAGTTATGAAGTATTTGAGATTCTTATAATCTATGACTATCTCAAATTCAGAGATACTTTGAAGTTCAGAGTCTCATTCTTCTAAACAGTGTATAATTGTGAGAAGTTTCTTATCATAGATCTCATAATTGTATTCAGTGAGACTCAGTTTCTTAGACATGAAGACACATGATTATAGAACATCTTTATTATTATATTGCAATATTGCTTCTTCTATCATATAGTCAGAGAAATCAGCTTCAACAACTGTCTTATGATTGAAATCAAATGTTATCAGCAGAGAGATATTGATAAACATCTTCTTTATCTATATAAATGCAGCTTTGATGTTCACTGATCATTGAAATACTGAGTCTTTCTTAGTGAGATCTGTAAGTGATCTCATAATATCTGAGAAGTTTTGTATAAATTGCTGATAGAAGTTAGTAAATCTGATGAAGCTTTATACATCTTTCACAGTATGCAGAGCTTCTTATTCAAGAATGATGAAGACTTTCTCAGAATTCATTTAAATTCTCTTATCAGCTTCTATAATAAAACTCAGATACTTGATACTCTTGACTTTAAAATCACACTTGTTAATATCTATCAGTAGTTCTACTTCTTGTAGCTGTTGTAATATCTTTTATACATGTTTCTAGTATTCTTTTCTGAATTCATCAGTGAAGATGAGAATGTCATCTAGATAAGTAGATACAAACTTATCAAGGAAGTCTCAGAGCACTCAGTTGATATACTTCTGAAATGTACTGAGAACATTAGTCAGTTCAAAGAGTGTGACTATTCATTCAAAGAGATTATAATGTGTTTGAAATACTGTAAGTCATTCATCTTCTTCAGTGATATAAATCTTATGAAACATAGTGATGATATCTAGTTTTATAAATCATTGAGCTCATCTGATCTGTGCTAGGGTTTCATTGATAAGAGATAAGAGATATTGATCTTTCTTTGTCAATCTGTTCAGATCTCAGTAGTTCATGCAGAATCAGAGTTCTTCATCTGGTTTCTTTGTAAAGAGAATAGAGACTGTAGTAGAGAAGTTACTAATGTATATGAATTCTTTATTCAACAGATCATTGAGTGTCTTTCAAAGAAGAAGAAGTTCATCTCAGAACATGTTATAAAGAGAATCTTATGACAGTTCAGAATTCTTATCATTCTTTTTCTCTAACTTGATACTGTGATTCACTTCAGAATCTTGTAAGAGAGGTATATTTATAATATTGTCTTATCAGAAGACATCTAGATATTCATGATATTATTGAGAGAGTTTTGTACAAGAATCTGTTATTGTAACACAGAATAACTTTTCTAGAGTCTTTTTAATATTGATCAGACTGGCAGAATAGATTAATATATGATCTTGCTATCAGTGACTCTGTTGATAATTTTAGTGATAACTTCTTTTTCAGAGTATTTCATACACATTGACAGAGATCTGTGTCAGGTTCATGATCTTATGAATATCATTTTTGTAAACTCTATCATTGTTAGGAAATATCAAGCTTCTGTTTCAAGCATTTAATAAGATGTCTTATTCAGATAGTCAGACAAGTTCTAATATAAGATTATAATCAAGATTATCAACTTCATATGCATAGGCATCTTCATGTTGATGTCCTTCTATATCTATGATTAGCTTC